AGATTGGAAATGAAATGAGAGAAAGAGAGAGAAAATGACAAAACAAACAAACAATACCTCATTAATAATAAGCCATCGATCAGAGTCTGCGGTAATACTGATCCTCAGCTGTTTGACAGGACTGAGAACGTGCGGTACGAACCCATTGGCCATTCCCTTCATTATTTTGAAGCCTCCGATCACGAAATAGCCGTCAGATGTGACGGACAAATGGCTCGGTATTCGCGTCACTCTATTCAGTGGCAATATCTCTACCGACCCGTCCGTCAGTTTGTCCTCTGGATGTTCACTATTGCCGGTGCGGATGAAATACCTGTCCATTCAATACACGCATACAGAGAACAATGCATCAGATTATTTGTGCACTTTATGGCTATTATAATAGTATTGAACAAAAATAAAATACATTTTTGAACCTTAAATGCATCTCAAAAAACACTATAATTTATAGATTTATTGTATAAAAATAGATTCAAAATTTAAACAATAATATGTTCCGCAAAAATACAGATTTCAATCAAAATGATAAATATTATCAAAATTCCTGAAATACCAAACCTTTTATATAACAATAAAACCTAAACGTATGTCTTTTCAAATAGTTATCCAATTCTTATCGAAATATTTAGACAAATTTATTGCATAAAAGAGGGTATAATTTACTATTCAATATAATTTAAATACAAAAACCCAAACATTAATCCGGTACTAATGTTATGTATTTTATGCATAAAACGAAATAACAATTCATTGAATAAATCAAACAAATATATAATAATAATATAAAAATACGAAATCAAAAACAATGTAATGAATACCTTTCGAGAGGAATGGGAGGATTGAAGGTAAACGTGATATTATCGCCGGTTTTGGGTGTCATTCCCCAGAAGTAAGTCTCCCCGAAATAGCAGCCCTCTATCGTATGGCTCTTATAGGGTTTCAATGTAGTGGACACGACGGCCATCGGGTTGTCTTTATGTGAATAATATAACGACAATTTGCCGAACGCCCGGTCCCTTAGTTTCTGGACTTTGCCCTTAAGGCTAGAATGGGTGCCAATGTGTTGAAAGAGTGAGGGCTTGTGGTGGAGCCAAACCAACTCCTTCTGGCGCTTACAGTCTTTGAGATCTCTGTCGAATCGACACAACTTTGTTTGTATCAAATGCTCCAAAAGCCAGTCCACGGGCTTATCGT